CCCAAACCCTTGTTTCCCAGGGGGTTGACTAGATATGTATTCAATAACACGATCATCTGGTGTAATTGTCTGTAATGGGTACAGAGTGTCTAGAGCTTTGGTGAATTAGGCACCGCCAGGATTTGTCATATCCGCTCTGAAGGGGGTTGACGAGATGTACCAAACCCCTCCGCCTCTCTCACCCCTCTCCTCCCCCCTCTCCTCCCCCCTCTCCATGTTCTGTCTATTCTCTCCAGCTCTGCTGCTGGGATGGACCCCAAGTTTCCAAATCACAACATCTGTGTTCTCATGAATAAAACAGGATTAGTGGATTCCTACATTGGCAAAAGGGGACTGGGTGTTCCCAGGAGAAATTACATTCAATCTGCACCCCTCTGTCTCCCCTACACTGGGCAGGGGAGAGAGGGGTAAGGGTGAAGCAGACTCAGAGGTTTGGTAACAGTGGTCAGCCATTAAGTCAGCCAGTCAGCCAGTCAGTCAGTCAATCAGTCAGTCAACCAGTCAGTCAACCAGTCAGTCAACCAGTCAGTCAACCAGTCAGTCAACCAGTCAGCAAGCCAGTCAACCAGTCAGTCAGTCAGTCAGTCAGTCAACCAGTCAGTCAACCAGTCAGTCAGCCAATCAGTCAGCCAGCCAGTCAGCCAGCCAGTCAGCCAATCAGCCAGCTGGGGGTTTGTAGGGCTTGAACAGGGCTTCTCACTATTTCTTATTCTTTTTTCTCCATAGTTTTGGGCAGCGAGGGAGGGAACGTTGGCAGGGAGAGACTGTATGTGTGTGTGTGTTACCTCCTCCATGGCGCTGATGAGGTTCTGGGTGGACTTGTTGATCTCCCCCCCTATGGTGGCGGCACCCCCTCCCTGGTAGGCGGAGTCTGGACTGCCCTGGCTGTTCATCTCCACCGTGTAGCTGGCCTTGGCTGGCCACCACAGCTGGTTGTGCATCAGGAAGTACACCGCAAACACGTACAGGCCCTGGGGAGAGGGCACAGGGTAAAGGTCAGGGGTTGTGTGTGTGTGTGTGTGTTACTAGAGGAGGTTAGGTCACGGCCCTACACCACCCTGGGAAAGAGGAAGGAGAACATAAGAGGTACAGAGAGGCTCAGCGCTAACCAGCCAGCTTCACCTGATGAATTAAAGTATCTACCTTTTTGTCCTTCGTGCTCTTTAGTCGTGATGTGTTGCTACCGTGTTGTGTTGCTACCGTGTTGTGTTGCTACCGTGTTGTGTTGCTACCGTGTCGTGTTGCTACCGTGTCGTGTTGCTACCGTGTTGTGTTGCTACCGTGTTGTGTTGCTACCGTGTCGTGTTGCTACCGTGTTGTGTTGCTATGTTCTTCTCTTAGGTCTCTCTTTATGTAGTGTTGTGGAGTGTCTCTTGTCGTGATGTGTGTTTTGTCCTACATTTGTATTTTTAATCCCAGCCCCCGTCCCCACAGGAGGCCTTTTGCCTCTTGGTAGGCAGTCATTGTAAATAAGAATTTGTTCTTAATCGACTTGCCTAGTTAAATAAAGGTTAAATAAAAAATTTAAAAAGCTAGATAGGGAGAGAATGATTTCAGTATCAAATTAACAAGACAGATAGAAATCAATGTATAGGATAGATTGTAATAGAAGACAGAGAGAATGTACATTATTTAACATCTCAATCATGGATATACAGCGCATTCAGAAAGTATTCAGACCCCTTCACTTTTCCCACATTTTGTTACGTTATAGCCTTATTCTAAAATGGATTAAATAATTTTTTCCCCTCATCAATTTACACACAATACCCCATGACGAGAAAGCTAAAACAGGTTTGTAGAAACTTTTGCAAATGTATAAAAAAACAAAAACAGAAATACCTTATTTACATAAGTATTCAGACCCTTTACTATGAGATGAAATTGAGCTCAGGTGCATACTGTTTCCATTGATCATCTGAGAGATGTTTCTACAACTTGATTGGAGTCCACCTGTGGTCAGTGGTGGAAAAAGTACCCAATTGTCATACTTGAGTAAAAGTAAAAGATACCTTAATAGAAAATGACTCAAGTAAAAGTGAAAGTCACCCAGTAAAATCCTACTTGAGTAAAAGTCAAAAAGTATTTTATTTTAAATATACTTAAGTATCAAAAGTATATGGAATTGATCAAATATACTTAAGTATTAAAAGTAAAAGTATAAATCATTTCACATTCCTTATATTAAGCAAACCAGACGGCACCATTTTCTTGTTTTGTTTACTTTACGAATAGCCAGAGGCACACTCCAACACTCAGACATCATTTACAAACGAAGCATGTGTTTAGTGAGTCCGCCAGATCAGAGGCAGTAGGGATGACAGGGATGTTCTCTTGATAAGTGTGTGAATTGGACCATTTTCCTGTCTTGCTAATCATTCAAAATGTAATGAGTACTTTTGGGTGTCAGGGAAAATTTATGGAGTAAAAAGTACATAATTTTCTTTAGGAATGTAGTGAAGTAAAAGTAGTCGAAAATATAAATAGTAAATTAAAGTACAGATACCCAAAAAACTACTTAAGTGGTACTTTCAAGTATTTTTACTTAAGTACTTTACACCACTGCCTGTGGTAAATTCAATTGATTGGACATGATTTGGAAAGGCACACACCTGCATATGTAAGGTCCCACAGTTGGCAGTGCATGTCAGAGCAAAAACCAAGCCATGAGGTCGAAGGAATTGTCTGTAGAGCTCCGAGACAGGATTGTGTCGAGGCACAGATCTGGGGAAGGGCACCAAAGAAATTCTGCAGCATTGAAGGTCCCCAAGAACACAGTGGCCTACATCTTTCTTAAATGGAAGAAGTTTGGAACCTCCAAGACTCTTCCTAGAGCTGGCCGCCCGGCCAAACTGAGCAATCGGGGGAGAAGGGCCTTGGTCAGGGAGGTGACCAAGAAAAGAGCTCCAGAGCCCTAGAGTTCCTCTGTGGAGATGGGAGAACATTCCAGAAGGACAACCATCTCTGCAGCACTCCACCTATCAGGCCTTTATGGTAGAGTGGCCAGAAGGAAGCCACTCCTCAGTAAAAGGCACATGATAGCCCGCTTGGAGTTTGCCAAAAGGCACCTAAAGGACTCTCAGACCATGAGAAACAAGATTCTCTGGTCTGATGAAACCAAGATTGAACTCTTTGGCCTGAATGCCAAGCGTCACGTCTGGAGGAAACCTGGCACCATTCCTATGGTGAAGCATGGTGGTGGCAGCATCATGCTGTGGGGATGTTTTTCAGCGGCAGAGACTGGGAGACTAGTCAGGATCGAGGGAAAGATGAATGGAGCAAAGTAAAGAGAGATCCTTCATGAAAACCTGCTCCAGAGCGCTCAGGACCTCAGACTGGGGCGAAGGTTCACCTTCCAACAGGACAACAACCCTAAGCACACAGGCAAGACAACGCAGGAGTGGCTTGGGGACAAGTCTCTGAATGTCCTTGAGTGGCCCAGCCAGAGCCCGGACTTGAACCCGATCGAACATCTCTGGAGAGACCTGAAAATAGCTGTGCAGCGATGCTCTCCATCAAACCTGACAGAGCTTGAGAGGATCTGCAGAGAGGAATGGGAGATACTCCCCAAATACAGGTGTGCCAAGCTTGTAGCATCATACCCAAGAAGACTCAAGGCTGTAATCGCTGCCAAAGGCTCTTCAACAAAGTACTGAGTAAAGGGTCTGAATACTTATGTAAATGTGATATTTCAGTTTTGTATTTATAATACATTTGCAAACATTTCTAAAAACCTGTTTTTGCTTTGTCATTATGGGGTGTGTAGATTGATGAGGGAAAAAAAAGATTCATCCATTTTAGAATAAGGCTTTAACGTAACAAAATGTAGAAAAAGTCAAGCAGTCTGAATACTTTCCGAATGCACTGTACCTAGGATACACTGAAACATTGGGTTGTTTACTTGAACTTTTCAATCCAGGCTTACATTGCTGCAGTGCAAGAAAATTACCATCCTGGACATCAAGTTACAAGTTCCAGTTCCCCAGATTCTTCTCAGGAATAAACTGTCCATTCACTGATGTTTGCCCTTCCTGTACAGATATCCTCTGACGAAGCCTAGTAGATCCAGAGCAGTGCTAACTAACCACTAACCAGGATGTATGAAATATAGCCAGTGCACTGGAGCCAGCTGGCTAATGGCTGCTCAGTGGACTACTGCATGTAGTGATGCTGCTGTGGTTTAGAGCTGTTAGGATGAAGCATAAAGCCATAGCATTAACAGTGTCTATATAGTTTAAATGGATGCAGAGAATCTACCTTCCTTGCATGTGTGCATACATGCTCGCACGCACGCACACACACACACACACACACACACACACACACACACACACAGCTGTTGTGAGCAGAACCATTAAACAGCATTTTACAGTCAAGGCAACAGTCACTCCAACAACAACAACAACATGGAAAATTATCCTCATGGAAAATGGACCGCATGAGAGTGGAAACACAAAACAATCGCCCAGTCTGCAACAGTATAGAGGCACATAAGCAACTGTGCTAACAAATAGCTACAGAACAGAAGCAAGTGTGAAGTAATCAGATACTATGCCAACTCAATAGATAGCTAGGAGAACCTAATTCATTGAAATGACTCCTTAGGGTTTCTGAGGTTTGTGGCAGCCACAACAGAAAACCGTGATCTGAAGATTTGCTATCCTGCCATAGACATATAAACCTCACTCCACGCAACATAGAATGAATTTGACTATATTATAAATCCTTTTGAAATTATAATTTCCATGATGCTAACTTTAAAAACCGAATTCATGCTGACGTAGCATTGTACTCTACATTTCCGGTCTTTTGATTCAACTCTAACTCTTAATGGCTGTGTCACGACAGAAATATCAACGCTCTGATCTCCATGTTCCTCGTCTCCCCACTAAACAAATTGGTTTTCCTCCGTAAATGCAGACTCTCAAAGCAGAACAATTGTCCCTTAATTGTGTTCCTGCCGACCGGGCAGCAACAGCTTCACAACAGCCTGACGCTGGCATCGCTAGGAGAGCAGTAGCAGTAGCATTCCATTTCCATTTCCATTTTAGTCATTTAGCAGACGCTCTTATCCAGAGCGACTTACAGGAGCAATTAGGGTTAAGTGCCTTGCTCAAGGGCACATCGACAGATTTTTCACCTAGTCAGCTCGAGGATTAGAACCAGTGACCTTTCGGTGACTGGCACAACGCTCTTAACCACAAAGCTACCTGCCGCCCAATAGCAGCAACAGCACTCTGGAATATCTAGGTCAGATGTATTTGTTTAGAGCTAATTGATGGTCTTGAACACAGCTCACTTTGGTACCTGTAGAAAAGGAAACTGTCTGTTGCAGCTCAATTCATCCTGTCTCACAGAGAACCAAAGCAGAGAGATGCACTCATAAATGATGGCCTCTCTCTACATCTTCAGGGGATTTGTCCTGTATTGGAGCTTAAAGTAGCAGGGTAAGCCGTAAATGATAGTCTGTGAAACAAAGCCATGTCTTAGACAAAGACACTCGAATCTACCCTCAACTAGCAAGCAAGTATTACCACTTCAGACAATGAAGTAGTCTTGAACAGTTCAAACATCTTTCAGCACATTGTCAGTTATGCAACCGTTCCAAAACAAGATATTAATGATAGTGGCTGTAGATCATACAGCTCTGTACAGAAGTACCTGATGATTAAGTTATCTCCTATCTTATGAATGACCCCGTCTCCTCTCTCTGTCTTACCCTCTCTGATATGCATGTCACGGTTTCGGCCGAGGCTGCTCCTCCTCCTTGTTCGGGCAGGCTTCGGCGGTCGTCGTCCCCGGAGTACTAGCTATCACCGTTTCATGTTTTCGCTGTCTGTTGGTTTTGTCTGATTGTGTACACCTGTGTCCTGTTTAGTTGATTATGTCCTCTATAAGTTTCCCGTTTGGTTAGTTTTGTGTTGTGTGTTATTGTTCGCCTGTCATCAGGTCGGCTCGTTGTTTGTTTGTTGTTTTCCCTGTTGTCGCACTGTACTGTTTTCGTGCGCCTTGGAATACTAGCCTTTTGCGCATTGTTGCGCATCGTCCGCCTCTTGTTTGTTTTGAGGCCAGTGTTTTGTATATTTGTGGTCGTGTTCAGTAAAGTATTGGACTTAGCTTCTGTGTCTGCGTTTGACTCCTTCACCACATCTACATCAGCCGTTGTGACAGAATAACACACCACCATGGAGTCAGCAGAAGCAGTGGCGGCACCCAAGTCGCTGGAGGAACGGATCAGCCATCAAGACACCATGATCTGGCGACTTGAGGCCGCCATGAACGAGGTGGCGAACACTCTGCACCGTTTGGTCACCAGAGAGGTGCCCACACCTCCGCACACCTTACCATCAACATCGACCAGTCCTCCTCTTCCAGCACCGGAACTCAGCGGTATTCGGCTCTCGCTCCCGAGGGCATATGATGGTACCGCAGCCGGATGTCAGGGGTTCCTCCTGCAGGTGGAACTCTACCTGGCCACCATACACCCGGCGCCCTCGGGATACGAGAGCGTCTCCGCCCTCATCTCCTGTCTCACCGGCAAGGCGTTGGAGTGGGCCAACGCCGAATGGAGGGGAATAGACGCCGCCACCATCACCTACGCGGAGTTCTCCCGCCGCTTCAGGGCCGTGTTCGACCATCCACCAGAGGGGAAGGCGGCGGGGGAGCGTCTGTTCCACCTTTGACAGGGGAGGAGGAGCGCACAGGAGTTCGCCCTGGAGTTCCGGACTCTAGCAGCGGATGCAGGGTGGAATGAGCGGGCCCTCATCGACCACTACCGATGTAGTCTACGGGAGGACGTCCGTCGAGAGTTGGCCTGCAGGGATTCCCATCTTACCTTCGACCAGCTGGTGGACATGTCCATCTGGCTTGACACCCTGCTGGCTACCCGCGGACGCACCGAGTGGGGGTCGTCCATTCCACCCTCCAGCACCTCCGAGCCGAGCCCTATGGAGCTCGGAGGTGCTGGCGCTAGAGAGAGGAGGAGGAGGAGCCCGAGGGGGGCTGTTCCCTGCACCAACTGTGGCCGTGGAGGGCACACTGCGGCTCGGTGCTGGGGAGGGTCTCCTAGGGGAGAGGACGACAGGCCACGCACTGGGGAGTCATTCCAGGTGAGTAGGCGTCCCACTTACCCAGAGCTCTCTGTTGTGCACGTCTGTTTACCTGTACATTTTCAACAGGTTGCACCTCATTCCCAGCATAAGGCGCTAGTCGATTCAGGCGCAGCTGGGAATTTTGTTGATCGACATTTTTGTTTAAAACTAGGGATTCCCCTTCTTCTGGTCGACGCCCCATTTCCTGTCCATGCTTTAGACAGCCGTCCCTTGGGATCGGGGTTGATTAGGGAGGTTACTGCGCCACTTAGGATGAGGACGCAGGGGGGTCATGAGGAAACTATTCAGCTATATCTGATTGACTCTCCTGCGTATCCGGTGGTGTTGGGGCACCCCTGGTTGATTACCCATAATCCGTCTATTTCGTGGCAAGAGAGGGCTCTTAAGGAGTGGTCTGCCCAGTGTGTGGGGCGATGTCTAGGTGTTTCCGTGGGGGCGACCTCGGTGGAGAGTCCAAACCAGGTGCCCGCACTGCACATTCCCCCCGAGTATGAGGATTTGGCAATCGTGTTCAGTAAATCGAGGGCGACGCAGTTGCCTCCCCATAGGCAGGGAGATTGTGCGATAGACCTCCAGGCAGGAGCAGCGCTTCCACGGAGCCATGTGTATCCTCTGTCTCAGGAGGAGAAGAGAGCTATGGAGACTTACATAGCTGAATCTCTGAGACAAGGATACATACGGCCATCCACTTCCCCTGCGTCCTCAAGCTTCTTTTTTGTGAAGAAGAAGGATGGAGGTTTGCGCCCGTGCATTGATTACCGTAGTCTCAATCAGATCACGGTGAAATACAGTTATCCACTCCCGCTGATTGCGACTATGACTGAGTCATTGCACGGGGCGCGTTTCTTCACAAAACTAAATCTCAGGAGCGCATACAACTTGGTGCGCATTAGAGGGGGCGATGAATGGAAGACAGCATTTAGTACCACCTCAGATCATTATGAGTATCTCGTCATGCCATACGGGTTGATGAACGCTCCTTCAGTCTTCCAATCCTTCGTAGATGAGATTTTCAGGGACATGCAGGGGCAGGGTGTGGTCATGTACATTGATGACATACTTGTGTACTCTTCCAACCGAGCCGAGCATGTAGCCCTGGTGCGTCAAGTGTTGAGGAGGCTGTTGGAGCACGACCTGTATGTCAAGGCAGAGAAATGTCTGTTTTTCCAGGAGTCGATCTCCTTTTTGGGTTATCAGTTGTCTGCGTCAGGGGTGAAGAGGGAGGTAGACCGTGTGTCAGCCGTGCGTAATTGGCAAACTCCAACCACTGTTAAAGAGGTGCAGCGGTTTTTGGGGTTTGCAAATTACTACCGGAGGTTTATCCGGGGTTTTGGACAGGTGGCAGCTCCCATAACGTCTCTGTTGAAGGGGGGTCCCGTGCGTCTGCAGTGGTCAGCCGAGGCGGACAGGGCTTTTGGGAGACTGAAGGACCTGTTTACTTCGGCTCCGGTGCTGGCGCATCCGGATCCCTCTTTACCATTTCAGGTAGAGGTTGACGCATCAGAGGCCGGTATTGGGGCCGTACTTTCGCAACGGTCCGGCAAGCCACCTAAACTCCGCCCCTGTGCTTTTTACTCCAAAAAGCTCAGCCCCCACTTGACATCGAGGGGGCTCCGGCGTACACAGTTCGGGCCATCTTGGACTCAAGACGTCGGATGGGGATCTCCAGTATCTCGTGGAGTGGGAGGGGTACGGTCCGGAGGAACGGTGCTGGGTGCCGAGGAGAGACATCCTAGACCCGTCTCTCCTGACTGAGTTCCACCGTAGTCATCCTACGCGCCCTGCTCCGCGTCCTCCTGGTCGTCCCCGAGGCCGGGGTCGGCGCACGGCTGGAGCCGCGCGTCAAGGGGGGGTACTGTCACGGTTTCGGCCGAGGCTGCTCCTCCTCCTTGTTCGGGCAGGCTTCGGCGGTCGTCGTCCCCGGAGTACTAGCTATCACCGTTTCATGTTTTCGCTGTCTGTTGGTTTTGTCTGATTGTGTACACCTGTGTCCTGTTTAGTTGATTATGTCCTCTATAAGTTTCCCGTTTGGTTAGTTTTGTGTTGTGTGTTATTGTTCGCCTGTCATCAGGTCGGCTCGTTGTTTGTTTGTTGTTTTCCCTGTCGTCGCACTGTACTGTTTTCGTGCGCCTTGGAATACTAGCATTTTGCGCATTGTTGCGCATCGTCCGCCTCTTGTTTGTTTTGAGGCCAGTGTTTTGTATATTTGTGGTCGTGTTCAGTAAAGTATTGGACTTAGCTTCTGTGTCTGCGTTTGACTCCTTCACCACATCTACATCAGCCGTTGTGACAATGCATTCCCACTCTGTACTGAGAGAGTGGTCTGGCCTCATGCTATCTTCACTCAAGAAGAGCTCACACTGTCAGGGACAGACATCAAAAGGTTGGCTTCAAAGGCAACTTTGAACACCCTTCATCACACACACACTCAGGCAAGCACACACACACACACATCAATACACGTGCACGCACACACACATCAATAGACACACATGCACGCACACGCACGCGAGGGGCCCAACAGTGCAGTGGCTTAAAGGGGATTTCGGGATTTTGGCCTTTATCTACTTCCCCAGAGTCAGATGAACTTGTGAATACCATTTTTATGTCTCTGTGTCCAGTATGAAGGAAGTTAGAGGTAGTTTCGTGAGCCAATGCTAACTAGCGTTAGCACAATGACCTTGAAGTCTATGGGTATCTGCTAGCTAGACTTCCAGTCATTGTGCTAACGCTAGTTAGCAATTTCACAAGTTAGCAACTTCCTTCAAACCGCAAGCAAAGACATAAAAATGGTATCCACGAGTTCATCTGACTCTGGGGAAGTAGATAAAGGGCCTCATTGCCAAAATCCCAAAGTATCCCTTTAAGCCACTGCACTGTTGGGCCCCTCGTGTGTGTGTGTGTGTGTGTGTGTGTGTGTGTGTGTTTGTGTGTCTCTTTAAGGGTCAATACATAGTACAGGTGTGCCTTCAGAGAGCTATGAGCTACGATAAGGAGAGAGGCTATTACTGAACCTGAAGAGAGTTATTACGCCAATGTCTACACATACATCTGGGCTCTCAAGTATCTAGGAAGTTGCTGGAGCGCTGTTGTAACATTTACAAAACTAAGACAGATTTTCCTTCAGTTTTGACAGAAATAGAGAGTCAATAAGACACTAAAACAAGTCTTTCTGATTGACACACACAATGATGATGATGAAGATATCTTACCAGCAAGAGGTTGAAGATGACGTGGAGGATGAGCATCCACAGGTATCTGTAGGCCATGTGTATTCCTGCCCACAGCCACACCAGGGACACCAGGGCAAACAGGTACAGCACCATGGGCACCTCTGAAACACACACAACAGGGCAGACTTAGCCTAATACACAGTTAACACACAAAGGGACAAACACACAGACATAAAGACACACACGTACATACGCATAGACACACACACACACACACACACACACACACACACACACACACACACACACACACACACACACACACACACACATACACACACACACACACACACACAGAGATTCATATAGAATATAATGACATCATTCTTAGAATTAAATACATTATATTCTAACCTATGACAATCATAATGCCTTTGATACTGTGAACCAGTATGGAGATTCTCGCCACGCCACCTGGTAGGAGCGACCTGTGAGGTAGGACACCATCCTCCTCTCCACCCTCTCCGAGTTGGGCATCTCCGGCGCGGCTCATTCTTGGATTGTGTCCTACCTCACAGGTCGCTCCTACCAGGTGGCGTGGCGAGAATCTGTCTCCACACCACGTGCTCTCACCACTGGTGTCCCCCAGGGCTCAGTTCTAGGCCCTCTCCTATTCTCTCTATACACCAAGTCACTTGGCTCTGTCATATCCTCACATGGTCTCTCCTATCATTGCTACGCAGACGACACACAATTAATCTTCTCCTTTCCCCCTTCTGATAACCAGGTGGCGAATCGCATCTCTGTATGTCTGGCAGACATATCAGTGTGGATGACGGATCATCACCTCAAGCTGAACCTCTGCAAGACGGAGCTGCTCTTCCTCCCGGGGAAGGACTGCCCGCTCCATGATCTCGCCATCACGGTTGACAACTCCGTTGTGTCCTCCTCCCAGAGTGCAAAGAACCTTGGCGTGACCCTGGACAACACCCTGTCGTTCTCCGCTAACATCAAAGCGGTGACCCGATCCTGTAGGTTCATGCTCTACAACATTCGCAGAGTACGACCCTACCTTACACAGGAAGCGGCACAGGTCCTAATCCAGGCACTTGTCATCTCCCGTCTGGATTACTGCAACTCGCTGTTGGCTGGGCTCCCTGCCTGTGCCATTAAACCCCTACAACTCATCCAGAACACTGCAGCCCGTCTGGTTTTCAACCTTCCCAAGTTCTCTCACGGCACCCCGCTCCTCCGCACACTCCACTGGCTTCCAGTTGAAGCCCGCATCTGCTACAAGACCATGGTGCTTGCCTACGGAGCTGTGAGGGGAACGGCACCTCCGTACCTTCAGGCTCTGATCAGTCTCTACACCCAAACGAGGGTATTGCGTTCATCCACCTCTGGCCTGCTGGCCCCCCTACCTCTGCGGAAGCACAGTTCCCGCTCAGCCCAGTCAAAACTGTTCGCTGCTCTGGCACCCCAATGGTGGAACAAGCTCCCTCACGACGTCAGGACAGCGGAGTCACTCACCACCTTCCGGAGACACTTGAAACCCCACCTCTTTAAGGAATACCTGGGATAGGATAAAAGTAATCCTTCTACCCTCCCCCTCCCCCACCCCCCCCAAACAAAAAAAATAAAACAAAATATATGATACATTGTAAAGTGGTTGTCCCACTGGCTATCATAAGGTGAATGCACCAATTTGTAAGTCGCTCTGGATAAGAGCGTCTGCTAAATGACGAAAATGTAAATGTAAATGTAATAAATTGGGAGTTTTTCCAAAAGTTCAGAGTGTCCTAAATGATCTCTGCTCTCTGTCCAGGCTTGGCTCTGGGCTGTGGCCCATCATAGTGTAGTGAGCTGGGCCCGGGGCAGCAGGCAGCAGACCAGGACCTTAGGGCTGATTAATGAAGCCTCTCTTAATCAGGAGGCTTTACTGTAGGTCACAGATCCTGGCACAGGGCTGCCTCGTACAGTAAACCTGTCTTCACGCACAAACACACTCCTACACCCACAAACGAATGCACACACCCACTGACTGGACGCTGTGCCAAGTGCTCAGCTAAGACTGGGCTCTAAGTAGTCCCTACACATGCTGGTGGGACCTAAAAGTGAGTGGTCCTGGTAACCCACTTTTTATCAGGACAGAACCGACCAAAACAAATAGGAGGCAGAGATATACCAGGTAGATGATATACCAGGTAGATGATATACCAGGGTGATGATATAACAGGGTGATGATATACCAGGGTGATGATATAACAGGGTGATGATATACCAGGGTGATGATATAACAGGGTGATGATATACCAGGGAGATGATATAACAGGGTGATGATATACCAGGGAGATGATATACTGGACAGGATATGGCACATCGTACCCGTACCCCTAACCCTGTCAGACTCGGGCCCTGACTGACTGACTGACTGACTGACTGACAGACAGACAGACAGACAGACAGACAGACAGACAGACAGACAGACAGACAGACAGACAGACAGACAGACAGACAGACAGACAGACAGACAGACAGACAGACAGACAGACAGACAGACAGACAGACAGACAGACAGACAGACAGACAGACAGACAGACAGACAGACAGACAGACAGACAGAGGATGGACGGACGGGCAGAAAGGCAGGCAGACAGACAGAGAGACAGACAGACAGACAGACAGACAGACAGACAGACAGACAGACAGACAGACAGACAGACAGACAGACAGACAGACAGACAGACAGACAGACAGACAGACAGACAGACAGACTGGCTGAGCACTGGGATAGAAACCTTCTCAGAGCAGGCCTGAACCTCATCTATATTAGCATGCCTAAACCTCATTTATATTAGCATGCCTGCACCTCATCTATATTAGTAGGCCTGGACCTCTATATTAGCAGGCCTGAACCTCATCTATATTAGCATGCCTAAACCTCATCTATATTAGCATGCCTAAACCTCATCTATATTAGCATGCCTGCACCTCATCTATATTAGTAGGCCTGGACCTCTATATTAGCAGGCCTGACCCTCATCTATATTAGCATGCCTAAACCTCATCTATATTAGCATGCCTAAACCTCATCTATATTAGCATGCCTGCACCTCATCTATATTAGTAGGCCTGGACCTCTATATTAGCATGCCTGAACCTCATCTATATTAGCATGCCTAAACCTCATCTATATTAGCATGCCTAAACCTCATCTATATTAGCATGCCTGCACCTCATCTATATTAGTTGGCCTGGACCTCTATATTAGCAGGCCTGAAACTCTATATTAGCAGGCCTGAACCTCTATAGCAGCAGGTCTGAACATCATCCATATTAGCAGGCCTGAACCTCATCTTTGACCCTCCATCTCTTATGCAGACTATTAATTAGGGCGACAAACAAAACAAGAACTCTCATTCAGGAGCCAGGAGAGGGCTGAGTCATTAAAAGGTGCAGCGCATCAATACATAGAGAGAGAGAGAAAGAGAGAGAGAGAGAGAGAGAGAGAGGAAGAGGAAGCGATGAAGAGAGAGAGAGAGAAAGAGAAGCGATGAAGAGAAAGAGAGAGAGAGAGAGAGAGAGAGAGAGAGAGGAAGATGAAGCAATGAAGAGAGAGAGAGAGGAAGCGAGCTGAGGAGAGATAGAGGAAGAGAAGCGTAGAAGAGAGAGATTAGAGAGAAGAGAATAGGAATGGGATTTAATAGTAGAGTATATAGAGAAGGAGAGAGAGTGAAGGAAGCGATGAAGAGATAGAGAGAGTGGAAGAGGAAGTGATGAAGAGAGAGAGAGATAAGAGGAAAGAACGATGAAAGAGAAAGAGAATTAGAAAGAGATGAAGAAAGAGAAAATAAAGAGGAACATAAAATAATGAAGAAGATGAGATGAACGTTGAAGGAAAAAGGTGAAGAGAGAGAGGAGAATGGGAAGAGGAGCGATTGAAGTTAGATAAAGAAGCAGAGGAAAGGAAGCGTGAATTGATAAGAGGTAGAAGAGGAAGGAGGAAGGAGAGAGGAAGGCAGAGAGATTAGATCGGTGATAGAAGAGAGAGAGGAAGCGAACATGAAGAATAAGAGAGTTTTAGCAAAGTAAGATAAAGAGAGAATGCGAAAGAGGAATGAGATGAGGAAGAGAGAGAGGATAGAGAGAGAGAAGAAGAGGAAGATAGAGAGAAGAAAGAAAATAAAAAAAAAAAAAAAAAAAAAAAAAAAAAAAAAAAATATAGAAAAGCGAGATAGATATTCTATCGTAGCTATAGTAGAGATAGAGATAAGCGAGGAATCGATTGAAGAAGCGAGAGATAGAGAGAGAGACGATAGAGAGAAAGATAAGATTAAAGAGATAGAGAAGTGAAGAGAAGATATGAAGATAGAGAGTAGAGAGAGATAGGAAATGACGCGATGAGAGATGAGAGATATAGAATATGATAGATAGAGAAAGATATTAGAGATATAAGAGATAACAGATATTAAAGAAGCTCTAGATAATAGATATAAGTAATAAGATGATAGAGCTATGTCTGCTATAGATATAGCTATAGAGAAGGAGATATAATGCCGTATAAGAGTTATAATGAAGCTATGATAATAAATATAGATATATATAAAAGAGGAATAGGAATCGATTAGAGATGAGAGAAATGTAACGATAATAGAGCGAGAGATTAATTGATTTGAGAGAGATAGAGATATAGTAAGCGTGAGAGAGAGGAAGCGAGGGAGAGAGAGAGAGGGGGAAAGAGTGAGGGAGGAAGATATGGAGAGAGAGAGCGAGAGAGAGAGAATGTATTTTGACTCTGTGCTCATTAATACCTAGCGTGTTAGCCACAGGGAGCACAAAGAGCAACTACACAATGACAGGGCTGTTGAGTGGGCCCCAGAAAGCAACCGCTCTTTTCCAAATTGCATCTGGTCCCAAAAGGCACTGCATGAGACTAACCTCCAAAACACACTCAGAACAAAAGAGCGTGAATATCAATGGCAGTGACGTATACATGTTTAATTTGGTGGATAGCATTGAAATGCATGCATCTCAAAAAAAGCTGTAGCATGTTGATTGGAAATATTTTAGTCAGACTCTATAAAATGACCTGCACCTGAGTGTGTGTGAGAGTCTGTGTGTGTGTGTGTGTGTGTGTGCGTTAGGTTTGTGATATGGAGAGGTGATGAAGAGGAGAAAGGAGAAAGTGGTGAAGACTCAGATTAGCGCAGTAGCACGGCACAACATAACACAGTGGAGAACAGCACTGTGCAGAGCAATAAGGCAATGAACAGACCCAGACTCATATGGGGTGTATTCACTAGAAAACAAACGGAAACAAGTGGGAAACTAAATTGAACTTGTCCAATAAGAAACGCTATTTTTCTGTGGCAAAACGTTTTCTGTTGCAAAACGTTTCGCTACTGTATGCACTAATGAACACACCCCCGAACTCAGAAGTTCAAGGACAAAACAAGCACACGTGCTTGTGCTGCTATCAACGTACTGTACACATAATCCCATCTAGCATTTATCTGTTTATTTTCTCATTCTTGGCAGGCTCCTGTTGAAGTTCAAAGTGCAGTCATGGAGCACTGTCATAAAGCCAGAGCACAATATGTTGACAATTAAAGGTGCACACTGGTCATTGCATCAAAGGTACATCTTGTCTGGTGACTCAGGACTGTGGCACAGCAATAAGGGCGTCTTGATATACAGTGGGTTCTGACATTTTTGACACCCTTGATAAACACGAGAAAAAATGACTGTATAAAATAAATAATTCAAATACTGAGCTATATTGCATGCAACAAAAAAAAAGGAAATTATATTATTTTATACTAATACAATTCAAACAAATGTAAATGCCAAATGGCACTTGGATTGGAACCGGTGCTTTGGTCAAATGACATGAAAATAGAGCTCTTTGGCCACACACACCGGTGGTGGGTTTTACGTCGAAATGAGAATGCATAAGCAGAAAATAACCCCATACATAATGTCAAATATTAATGTTGATGTTATGAGGCTATTTTGCTTCCACTGGTCCTGGGGTTCTTGTTAAGGTCAATGGCATCATGAACTTTACCCAGTACCAGGACATTTTTCCCAAAAACCTGATTGCCTCTGCCAGGAGGCTGAAACTTGGGGTTATTGTCTTGCTGGAAGATCCACTTCCGCCCAAGCACACAACAAAATCCACAAAGCCACAAATTAAAAAACCTGTGGTTTGAATTGAAGAGGGCAGTCCATAAGCGCAGACGAAGGATATCAAGGATCTGGAAGGATTCTGTATGGAGGAATGGTCTAAGATCCCTCCCAATGTGTTCTCCAATCTCATAAAACATTTTAGAAAAAGGCGCAGTGCCGTTATCCTCGCAAGGTGAGGTATTGAAAACAGGGTTGTGAATAATTTTGACACCTAGCTTTTTGAGAAAAAAAGTATTGTTTGTTGAACAAAATCTATTTCTCTGAGCGATTGTATTAGTATAAAATAATATAATTCCCCTCCCCTTTTTATTGCATACAATATAACTCTATAGGGAATAGGGTGCCATTTGGGACGTGCCCTGTGTGTGTTTGTAGTGGAGCCTGCAGCTACTTTGTCACGTCAATTCTCCATGGCCAAATCCTGATGAGCCACATCAACGGGACTACAGCAGAGAGAGTCAGCAGTTTTAAGTTCCTCAGCGTCTACATCACCGAGGACTTGACATGGACCAACAACACCACTACACTTGTCAAGAGGGCACAACAGCGTCTCTACTTCCTAAGGCGGCATGCCACCCCGGGTCCTCTCCAAATACTACCGCTGCACCATTGAGAGCGTCCTGACCGGTTGCATCACAGCCTGGTACGAGAATTGCTCCGTCCACAACCGCAAGGCCCTACAGCGGGTGAAGATGGCCCAGATCACCCATCCAGGACATCTACTTGAAATGGTGTATGAGGATGGCCTGCAGGATCATCAAGGACCCCACACACCCCAGCCACGAGCTGTTCTCTCCCTGAACGTCTGGCAGACGGTATTGGAGCATGAGGTCTGATGCCAACAGGCTCAGAGACAGTTTCTTTCTACAAGCCATCAGACTGCTGAACACTTCAACTGGACTGACCACCTGCACTGACTCTCCGCACCTTAGCACACATGCACTCACTCACTCACACACACACACACACACACACACACACACACACACACACACTGCTACCAGACTATTATTATGATTGCTAAATACTGCACAATTTAAACACTTGACCCCCAATGCCTCCTTCCCCAAAACATGTGTAAATTGTGCCTTCTTGTATTATGCTAAAATGTTTATTATATTCTACTGAGCCATTTACTTTATGTTTGTATTCTTACCTTTTATTATTTCTTATTGTTGTTGCATTGTCTAGAAGGAAACTGCAAGTAAGAATTTTGTTGGACGGTGTATACCATGTGTGTCAATAGTTTGGACACACCTAATTCCAGGGGTTTTCTTAATTCTTACTATTTTCTACATTGTAGAATAATAGTGAAGACATAAAAACTATTTAATAACACATATGGAATCATGTAGTAACCAAAAAAGTGTTAAACAAATCAAAATATATTCTATATTTGAGATTCTTCAAAGTAGCCACCCTTTGCATTGATTACATATTTGCACACTCGCTCAACCAGCTTCATGAGGTAGTCACCTGGAATGCATTTCAATTAACAGGTGTGCCTTGTTAAAAGTTAATTTGTGGAATTTCTTTCCTTCTTAATACATTTGAGCCAATCAGTTGTGTTGTGACAAGGTAGTGGTGGTATACAGAAGATAGCCCTATTTGGTAAAAGACCAAGTCCATATTATGGCAAGAACAGCTCAAACAAGCAAAGAGAAATGACAGTCCATCATTACTTTAAGACATGAAGGTCAGTCAATCCGAAACATTTCAAAAACTTTGTGCAGTCGCAAAAACCATCAAGCGCTATGATGAAACTAGCTCTCATGAGGAAAGCCACAGGAAAGGAAGACCCAGAGTTACCTCTGCTGCAGAGGATAATTTCATTAGAGTTAACTGCACCTCAGATTGCAGCCCAAATAAATGCTTCACAGAGTTCAAGTAACAGACACATCTCAACATCAACTGTTCAGAGGAGACTGTGTGAATCAGGCCTTCATGGTCGAATTGCTGCAAAGAAACCAATACTAAAGGACACCAATAAGAAGAAGAGACTTGCTTGGGCCAAGAAACATGAGCCATGAACATTAGACCGGTGGAAATCTTCCCTTTGGTCTGATGAGTCCAAATCTGAGATATTTGGTTCAAACAGCTGTGTCTTTGTGAGACGCAGAGTAAGTGAACGGATGATCACTGCATGTGTGGTTCCGACTGAATTCAAGGCACACTTAACCAGCATGGCAACCACAGCATTCTGCAGCGATATGCCATCCCATCTGGTTTGCGCTTAGCGGGACTATAATTTGTTTTTCAACAGGACAATAACCCAAAACACAACTCCAGGCTGTGTAAGGGCTATTTGACCAAGAAGGAGAGTGATGGAGTGCTGCATCAGATAACCTGGTCTCCACAATCACCCAACTTCAACCCAATTGAGATGGTTTGGGATGAGTTGGTGTAAGGGTTGTTGTGAGGTGTGACCCAGGTGCGGTGCAGGATAGACAGCAGGCAGTAGGCAGAGATGGTGAAACAAGGATCTTTACTGGTGGTCCCAAAGCCAGGATACAAAATAACGGACTTGTCACAATAAAATAAAGGAGGAGCAAATTGGTCTCCAAAAACAGGCTGACAGCAAAAATACGAAATACTAACTACGACTGAAACAACAATGAAACAGGGAGACCACTTCTCAAGTACCTGTACATACGTCTCACGATCAGACACTGATTCGTACTACTTGGCATCGAGAAACTAGCAGAGAAAACTGAGCAAGGGAACGCAGGGAAGTGAGGGCATAAATACACAGGTGAACAGGTAGACACAGGTGACACCAATAGGATCATGATTAGTCCAGACTGTGAGTGAGGAGGTGCCTAAGGATGTCGGAGGAGGACACCTAGTGGGTCACTCCGGAACTGCAACCCGCTCCTGTAACAGTGCACCCCCCCCCCCGACGAACAGCCGTTCACCTCGGTGCCTCCGGGTGGAAGCGACGGAATATTGTCATCAGCCCTGGGTTCAGAATGTCCCTCCTGGGCACCCAGGACCGCTCCTCCAGCCCATAACCCTCCCAGTCCACCAGAAATCGGATCCGGACCACAGTAAAAGCCGGCTTCCCTCCGACGAGGCGCAGCGGGGGAACAGGATGAGGAGGGGGAGCCAGGGGACAGGTGGCAACGGGCTTGAGGAGGGACATATGGAACGTGGGATGCACCCGAATGGGGGGGGGAAGTTGCAGGTGGTAGGCCACTGGGTTGACTCGCCGGACCACTCTGAATGGCCCGACGAACCGGGGGAACAGCTTCCTGGACTCGACGTGGAGGGGAAGATCCCACGTGGAGAGCCACACCCTCTGTCCCGGGCAAAAAACCGGGGCCGGCAACGCCTGCGGTTGGCCTGATGTTGAGACCTGACCGAGGCCCGCTTAAGTGCCACCCGTACCTGCCTCCAGGTGCGGCAACAGCGACTGATGTGGGCCTGGACCGACGGGACCTCCGCCTTCTCCTCTTGCTCGGGGAATAGGGGGGGTTGGTACCCGTATTGTCACTGGAAGGGGGAAAAGCTGGTGGACGAGCAGAGAAGGGTGTTGTGGGCATCCTCCGCCCACGCCAGTCGCTGACTCCATGTTGCTGGGTTGCTGAGGTGCTACGCCTCCAGCAACCCAGCTACGTGGAGTCAGCGACTGGCGTGGGCGGAGGCGTGGGCGGAGGACGATTTAGCCGTCTCCCGGGCCGACGGGAGTTTGAGAAGAGGAATGAAGTGGGCAGCCTTGGAAAACCGGTCCACAATGACCAGGATGACTGTGTATCCATCAAAGGGGGGTAGGGCTGAAATGAAATCCAGCGAGATGTGGGACCAGGGGCGCTTGGGGATAGGCAGGGGTCGGAGCAGCCCTGCCGCAGGCTGATGTGAGCTCTTCGTGCGTGCGCACACCGGGCAAGCAGCCACGAAGGCATGTGTATCCCCCTCAGTTGATGGCCACCAGAACCTCTTACGCAGGAACTCCAACATCCTGGCGCCCACCGGATGGCTAGTGAGGTCGGACGCATGCGCACACTGAAGCAGTCATGAGCACGCAGCCTTGGGTATGTACATCCTCCCGATGGACCTCCGCCCGGATCGGGCACCTGCCGTAGCGCTGCTCTGACCAGCCTATCAATTCCCGACGAAACTGGGGCAGCAATCAGGGCTTTGGGGACAATGGGGTCGTCCCCAGGTCCATGGGGTCAAACTGCTGGGAGAGCGCATCAGGCTTGGTGTTCTTTGACCCCGGATGGTATGAGATCATGAACCGGAACCTGGTGAAGAACAACGCCCACCTGGCCTGGCGCGACTTGAGCCTCTTGGCCCCCTGAATGTAGGCTAAGTTCTTATGGTCAGTCCATATGATGAACGGATGGACGGCCCCCTCTAGCCAATGCCTCCACTCTCGCAGGGCGAGCTTGACCGCTAGCAGCTCACGGTTCCCCACATCATAATTCCACTCCACCGGGGACAGCCGACGGGAGAAAAACGAGCAGGGGTCAGTCTTACGATCCATGAGGAACCGCTGGGACAGGATTGCTCCCACCGCAACGTCTGAAGCATCCACCTCCACAATGAACGACGGGGACAGATCAGGATGCCCTAGGACCGGGGCCGATGTAAAGCGCTGCTTAATCGCATCGAATGTGTTCCCCGCTTCTGGGGTCCAGGCAAAGGAGCGCATGCTTGTCTGGGTGAGGGCTGTCAGGGGAGCGGCTAGGGAGCTAAAATTGCGAATAAATCGTCTATAAAAATAAGTTAACCCTAAAAACCGTTGCAGTTGCTTGAGGGAGGAGGGCTGGGGCCAATCCAGTACAGCGCTGACCTTGGCTGGGTCCATCCGTAGGTCCCCCTTGGTGATGATGAACCCCAGGAAGAAGATTGTCTCTGTGTGGAACATGCACTTCTCCACCTTGACGTAGAGCTGGTGACGGAGAAGGCATTGGAGGACCTGCCAAACGTGCTGCTGGTGTTCACTCATGTCCTTGAAAATATTAGGATGACATCCAAATACACGAAGACACTGTAGTCGAGGAGGTCCCGGAGCACGTTATTGACCAACACCTGGAACACCGCAGGCATGTTGGCTAGACCAAACTGCATGACTTAGTACTCGTAATTCCCACTGGGTGTGTTAAAAGCCGTCTTCCACTCGTCCCCCTCCCGAATCCTCACCAGGTTGTAGGCATTTCGTAAGTCCAGCTTGGTGAAGACCGGGCTCCCTGCAAAAACTCGAATCCCGTCGTCATCAGGGGGAGTGGGTAGCGGTTCTGATGAGTGGTCGGTGGAGACCGGAACAGCCATGTACCAGTCTATCCGGGGTTTGTGTGCGACCAGCCAGGGGTGCCCGAGGACAAGGGGACACTCCGGAGAGTCCACAATGAAAAACTGGATATCCTCCCATAGCCCCCCTGCCACCCGGACACTCACGGGGACAGTGCGCCGGGTGATGAAGCCCGAACCCAACGGCTGCCCGTCCAGGCCAATGACCTGAACCCGGCTCGGAGAGGGAGAGTAACGGAACACTCCACCCTTGGGCCAGCCCTGCGTCCATCAGGTTTCCCGCGGCCCCCGAATCCACCAGTGCATGCACCTGACGCGGGCCCACTGAACCCTGACGGTGAGAAAAGTCTGGGAGTCTCTGGAGTTGGGGTTTCGGTTCCGCTCGCTAGCACCCCTCCCGATATTAACGAGCCCTCCCGTTTCCCGGCTTTTACGGGCATGAGTCGCAGTGGTGACCTGCCTGGCCGCAGTACAGGCAATGTCCCTGGCCTCCATCCTGGACAAGTGCGCCGCACCCAGCTGCATAGCCTCCCCCTTAGGCTTCTCCTCCCTGAATCGGTGGAAAGTATCCGGGCTGATAGGGGGACGCGGAGGCGCGCCTTGCGTCATCCCTCTCTCGTGCGCCATTTCACAACGCTGATTGTCTACCCGCACCGAGAGCTCGACGAGGCCGTCAAGTCGCTCAGGCAGCTCCCTGAGGGAGAGATCGTCCTTCATCCCCTCCGATAGCCCATGCGAGTAAAGGACGACCAGGGCGACCTCCTCCCATCCTGCCTCTCGAGTCCGGGTCCGGAGCTCCACGGAGTAGTCCGCCACCGAACGGTCACCCTGCCGACAGGCCGTGAGCCGCCTCCCGTCCTCGTGCCCCGACACCACCCGAGAGGTATCGAACACCTTGCGTAGCTCCCAGGTGAATTGGTAGGAGTCGGTGCACACCAGAGTTTGGCTCTCCCACTCCGCGGTAGCCCAGGAAAGGGCCTGACCCATCAACAGAGTGATAATGTAGGCCACCCTGCCCTGCTCCATCGGGAAGGAGGAGGGTTGTAGGCTGAATACCAGGGAACACTGGGTAAGGAATTCCCTGCAGCCCTCTAGACGTCCGTCGTACCTTACCAGAGGTGGTAGTTGGGGTTCCCGCGATGTCGCAGGCGAGACTGGAGACGCCGCTGCTGCGGCTTCCGCTCCACCGGATGCCGGGGCTGGTCGGGTGTCCACCCGGCTCTGCACTGCGATCGTCAGCTGGCAGAGATTCTCGGTGATCTGCTGCAGGCTGCGGTTGTGCTGGTTCAGCATAGCTCCCTGCGTTGCCATTGCTCTACGATACTGTGCTGCCTCCGCTGGGTCCATATTGGCTCCGTTTTCTGTAAGGGGGTTGGTGTGAGGTGTGACCCAGATGTGGTGCAGGATAGACAGTAGGCAGTAGGCAGAGATGGTGAAACAAGGATCTTTACTGGTGGTCCCAAAGCCAGGATACAAAATAACGGACTTGCCACGATAAAATAAAGGAGGAACAAATTGGTCTCCAAAAACAGGCTGACAGCAAAAATACGAAATACTTACTACGACTGAAACAACAATGAAACAGGGAGAACACTTCTCAAGTACCTGTACATACGTCTCACGATCAGACACTGATTCGTACTACTTGGCATCGAGAAACTAGCAGAGAAAACTGAGCAAGGGAACGCAGGGAAGTGAGGGCATAAATACACAGGTGAACAGGTAGACACCGGTGACACCAATAGGATCATGATTAGTCCAGACTGTGAGTGAGGAGGTGCCTAAGGATGTCGGAGGAGGACACCTAGTGGGTCGCTCCGGAACTGCGACCCCCTCCTGTAACAAGTTGGACCGCAGAGTGAAGGAAAAGCAGCCAACAAGTGCTCCTTGGAACTCCTTCAAGACTGTTGGAAAAGCTTTCCAGGTGAAGCTGGTTGAGAGAATGCCAAGGTGGTTACTTTGATGAATCTAGAATCTAAAATATATTTTGATATGTTTAACACTTTTTTGGTTACAACATGATTCCATATGTGTTATTTCATAGTTTTGATGTCTTCACTATTTTCTACAATGTAAAAATAGTCAAAAGAAAGAAAAACCCTTGAATGAGTAGGTGTGTCCAAACCTTTGACTGGTACTGTACATACAACTAATACAACTTGAAACTTGAAACTGATGAGCCTAGAGAACAGCCTCATACAGTCATTTCCCAATAGAGGACTTACTGAAGAAAGTCTATAGCCTAAAATGCTAGAATTGTATCCAATGAGAAACACAACATTGAAATGCAACTACAAGGGAAAAAGCAAGAGAGAATGTAAAAGGCCTTGTGTTGTGTCCACAGTCCAGCATGTGAGGACTGTGGCCCTCCAGGGCCCTGTTTAAACAGGCCTGTACTTGAATGGTGTTTAAATAGGCCTGCATTTGCATGGTGTTTTAACAGGCATGTGTTTGCATGGTGTTTAAACATGCCTGTATTTGCATGGTGTTTAAACAGGCCTCTATTTGCATGGTGTTTGAACAGGCATGTATTTGCATGGTGTTTAAAAAGGCATTTATTTGCTATTTGTATGGTGTTTGCGAATGAAAAGAGGGTCTTGTTCAACATAGGATGAAATCGTGGTAACATGATACCAGATGAGTGCACTGACTGGCAAACAACATTGAGGAGGACTGAAGCTAGGATTAGCTGTAGGAGGAGGGGAAACTGGGGCAGGAAATGGGCAATTTTGTGAAAATTTTCTGTCTCACCCTCCTTCATGAGAAGGTTGGTGAAGGCAAAACCTTTGATGAAGTTGAACCTCTTTCCACTTGCTTGAAATGTTTTCTATTTTCTAAAGGGGGGGTTGGGGGGAGGGGGGGCATGTAGTCACCTTCTGTTGCCACACACACACAAAAGCGCACAAACACAAGTGCACACACATGCCTCAAGGACACCTCCTCCCTCTGTGTCTGTGCCCTACACACTCTCAATGCGTCTGCTGCTTTTAATAGAGTGTGCCGTGCCTCTCTCTCCCAGCCAGCGTAATTAAGGAGCTTTAGAGTCTGTTGAAAACCTGTTTACGGACATCACTGTACTGCCATTACCCCTCCCCTGGTGTGTCTGACCTGATACCTAGTAACACAGCCAGTCTGAGTCTAATGAACTGATACCTAGTAACACAGCCAGTCTGACCTGATACCTAGTAACACAGCCAGTCTGAACTGATACCTAGTAACACAGCCAGTCTGACCTGATACCTAGTAACACAGCCAGTCTGAACTGATACCTAGCAACCACAGCCAGTCTGACCTATACCTAGTAACACAGCCAGTCTGAACTGATACCTAGTAACACAGCCAGTCTGAACTGATACCTAGTAACACAGCCAGTCTGAGTCTAATGAACTGATACCTAGTAACACAGCCAGTCTGAGTCTAATGAACTGATACCTAGTAACACAGCCAGTCTGAGTCTAATGAACTGATACCTAGTAACACGGCCAGTCTGAGTCTAATAAACTGATGCCTAGTAACACAGCCAGTCTGAACTGATACCTAGTAACACAGCCAGTCTGAACTGATACCTAGTAACACAGCCAGTCTGAGTCTAATGAACGGATACCTAGTAACACAGCCAGTCTGAACTGATACCTAGTAACACAGCCAGTCTATGAACTATACCTAGCAGTACAAGCCAGTCACGCACTGAACGATACCTAGTAACACAGCCAGTCTGAACTGATACCTAGTAACACAGCCAGTCTGAACTGATACCTAGTAACACAGCCAGTCTGAACTGATACCTAGTAACACAGCCAGTCTGAACTGATACCTAGTAACACAGCCAGTCTGAACTGATACCTAGTAACACAGCCAGTCTGAACTGATACCTAGTAACACAGCCAGTCTGAACTGATACCTAGTAACCACAGCCAGTCTGAACGATACCTAGTAACACAGCCAGTCTGAAACTGATACCTAGTAACACAGCCAGTCTGAACTGATACCTAGTAACACAGCCAGTCTGAACGGATACCTAGTAACACAGCCAGTCTAAACTGATACCTAGTAACACAGCCAGTCTAAACTGATACCTAGTAACACAGCCAGTCTAAACTGATACCTAGTAACAATGGAGAGGGATTGGATTCATGAGGCCTCCTGTAGCTCAGTTGGTAGAGCATGGCGCTTGCAACGTCTGGGTTGTGAGTTCGATTCCCACGGGGGACCAGTATGAAAAATGTATGCACTCGCTAATTGTAAGTCGCTCTGGATAAGAGCGTCTACTAAAATGTAAAATGTAATGATACTGATGGACCAAAACAAAAGCCAGGGATATTGTGCATGAACAGGCGTGTGTGCATGCGTGTGTGTACACACACTGTATGTGGGTGTATTGAATAAGTTCTGTTTGTGAGGAACTGTGTTCTACCCACTCTGTATGTGAGTAGCCTACAGTATGGAAAGTATTCAGACCCTTTGACTTCTTCCATGTTATGTTACAGCCTTATTCTAAAATTGATTAACTAAAACATTTTCCTCATCAATCTACACACAATAATGTGTGTGTAGATTGAGAAACTCCGCAAATACAGGCGTGCCAAGCTTGTAGCGTCATACCCAAGAAGACGTATGAAAAATGTATGCACTCACTAACTGTAAGTCGCTCTGGATAAGAGCGTCTGCTAAATGACTAAAATGTAAACGTAAGACTCAAGGCTGTAATCGCTGCCAGAGGTGCTTACTTTCCGAATGCACTGTATGTGTTTTGCACTGAAGTACACGTTGCATAAAGCTTTAATCAAGGCTGCCCTATTGTGCCTGATCAGATGCGTGTTTGCTTTGTTTGTGATATGAGTGGTGTGAGTCTTTGTGTGCGTGTCTGTTTGTGTGTGTGTGTGTGTGCATGTGGGGTGGATTTGCAGGCCATTGTAAAAATAGTCCAGCAGCCTGGGTTGGGGATTAGATGTGTGTTGTAACAAGCAAGCTCCACAGGCTTTTCAGGGAACCTACCACAGAGCGTTGGAACAAGGACATCCTACCCACCATCTGTGGATGGGTCAGCCATGCGGGCTGTGCTGGGGGTTGCTGGAGTGGGTGGGATGGAAGAATAGAGGTCTCTCTGTGGAGGCTTGAGGCTAGGTTGGTTGCTATAGGCTGTCTTCTCCTCACTCTGTTGCTCTTCAAGGAAACCCCTTGGAGCCAGACGCTGCTGCTATTGTTGTTAACAACACCTATTTGGTTGTTATGAGAAGGCACTGTCCCGTTGAGATATCTTCCCTAAGGCTGGAGAGTAGAGCCTGAACAAGTTCTGATTAGGTTGAAGGGGGGGGGGGTGTCAGCCATTGTATCTCCTACATGAAGGGGGGGGGGTGTTACTACTACTACTACTACTACTACTACTACTACTACTACTACTACTACTACTACTACTACTACTACTACTACTACTACTACTACTACTACTACTACTACTACTACTACTACTACTACTACTACTACTACTAGGACCACAGGACAGGTTCTCCAATAGTGCAGTAGGCCGACAGGCAGACAGACAAGCAGACAGACAGACGCAGTCTGCTAGGTGTTCTGACATGGTCTGGTTGCTCGGGACATGGAGGTGGGTGCTATGCTCCAACCCATGCCCTATAGCTGGTAGATTTGGTGTGTCTGTGTACTATACCTGAGCTGTTGGTGCGCCCGCGGTACACGTCGTCGTAGGCCTTCCACTGCTGTGTGACCTGGTAGGCATGGATAAACACCACCAGTACCCCAACCAGGCAGATGAGAGGCACCAGGGCTGCTGTACTAAGAGCAGCATAGATATTAGGAATGAAACACCTGCAGAGAGAGAGAGAGAGAGAAAGAGGCAGAGGGGGTCTTAGTACACAAAACATGCAGTAAACAGCCAAGGAGAGGCGCAAACGTAAGCTATGTTCCTTTATTGTGCTGCATTACAGTAGGTCAAGATCTTGTTGCTCCAACATCCTTAAACAGGATCTAAGGCCCTGATACCTCTGAGCCTTCATAAGACTCTCAGAATTCCCAGTTAATAACAAGCTTCAAAGACATTTCCTTTCTGTACAAATATGAAGTTAAACCTCCCTCTCACAACTAGTTCAGCCCTGAAGGGATAACATCTAAATACACTTAAAGTGTTTTTCTGACTTTCGGGGGGGGGATAAACAAAACATTTTGCCTCCTTTTGAAAATGGAGTCTTATTTATTGAGGTTTACATCAATATAGCTGCTCTGTTGGCCCTCGCTTGTATTCTGTCCAGTCTTCGGCGTGTCAAAGTGACAGAGAAGTGAAGAGCGTGCCAAGAGGGGAGGACTGCTCTAGTCTCTGCTGCTGATTAGGAAATGGTTAGAACTATCTGGCAGGGGATCAAATCCACCACTATCACTGACCACTTCAAATAAAACATCTAACACTTCTCTTCCAATCTCTGGTCAAATACTGATCCTGGGCTCTATTTTAACAAACCTAATGCAATGGTAAATCTAAGAGCAGGCGGTAGCGCTATCAGTTCGAGGGTGTGTCAGAAATATTTTTGCTAATTTCACAAGCAAGAATGATGGGCGCAGTGCTGGCGGTGGTGCTAAATGTCTGGGTTTTGATTAATAAATAAGTTGTAGAGGCTTGACCCCCTCACTGGCCAATCAGAACCTGCTCCATGGCTAAATATGTGGTTGCTTCAAGTCTTTTATGTATTGCCTTTGAATCAACTCCAGTTCCAATGTTAGTCAGTTATAGTTTGTTAAATAGCTTACAGATATGAAAAAACTAAATGTAGACCTATCCCATCTTTGCAAAATATGTTAAATTGAACATGTTTGTAGTCCACATTGTTCTAAGTAATTGCATGGCTTCAATATGGAAATATATAGGCCTACATGGTATTCACACTGGTATATGGGCTAGGCCTACTGTAAATTGCATTATGGCTGAGCATGGACATGCCAAACAATATCGATAAGCAAGATTAAGTTCATTATCGATAAGGCCTAAAAAGAGAGAGAATAAAAAGACAGCGAAACAAAACAAAACAATAACTTGTTTTAAATAGGCTGTGTCTAAATACACTTCCAGGCACCATAATTGCTCCCTGTGGGCATGTAATATTAAAACAACGCAGACTAAGGAGAGTTTTACGCACATCCAAACTTTTCACAGTAGCTGGACAAAGAGCCAATATAAAGAGAAAGGGAGAATGTCTACACTGTTATCCTGCTCCCAAATATAATGTTTTATGAACATAATCGGAACCATCTTACAGGTCAGATCGCATTCACACTTCTCCCGAAGTTGCATTGCATGAGCACCACGGACGTTCTCACCTTAAATAAAACCAGGATGGTGAAACATTCTGATAAGTTTGGTTTTAATAAAATTAAACGACAAACAAGCAATCTGTATTTTTTTAAACAAACAAATGTAAAATGTAATGATATCATTAAAATGACAACGCACTGCCGTTGAACCATCCTTCTTTATAGTAGACCTAGGGTAAGTGTAGCCCGAGGAGGCCTTGGGTTTTTTCAAAATATGAAACGGAAAACAAGCCATTGTTACAGGGAAAAATATTCACCGGTTTTCACCGAGGTTCTCATCTCTGGTTTAATGATGGGCAATGACACATGTAGCCTACATCATGGAGGGGTTTTACTCACGTCCAAAACGGGAGCTGCATGGCTAAAATAATGTGGGCCTGCCTACAATACATAGTTAAAAAGGGAATGTCAGCTCATTGTTTTACTCCTCTCGAACTTGATCAATAAAGCTTTGGTGATTAAGATTTATTTCCAAGTGGTCTTACGAGCAAAACTCTTTATCGACAGTCTTGACTACCTCGTAATTGCATTAAAAAAAGTATTTTTATATATATATATAAAAATACTTCATTGAGAGGAGGGAAGCCTATGCTTGGTTTTTAATTAAATAAAACAAAATGGGGGCCTCCTGAGTGGCGCAGCGGTCTAAGGCCTGCATCACTTACAGCCGGCCGTGACCGGGAGACCCATGAGCAGTGGCGGCTCCTGAAAAAATTCTCAGGAGGGGCAATTTTTCTGATGATTTAGGTGACCTACACACATTTAAAAAAAGATATGTCCAGCAACAACATGAAGACAGGGGCAGCATATAAGTCAATACCAGAAGCATTTATTGACTGATCTGGGGAGATAGATTCCAGTTTCTGTGACAGATTATAAATAATCTCTGATGCCTTTGTTATATTAGCTTTTGGTTGAATGTACTGTCGTAGTAAATATATAATGTTATAGCTTGGTCTGACTAAAATCTTGTGCATGACCCATTTTGTGTTGGGCGTTTGTTTTCAATCAATGCTGTTCCTATCCTATAACAATGGACAAAAGAGTCCTATCTTGTCAGCCTTGTCAGCAGGTGGCCAAGGACAACACCCACGCCATAGGTCTCTCAGTTCTTCCAACTCACAAGTTCTTGCTCTGAGGACACACACACACACACACACACACACACACACATCATCACTGATAACACACACACACACACACATCATCACTGTTAAACACACACACACACACACACACAAATCCCCTCTCTTTAGGCTGAACATTTGAAGACAGAGAACCCGACTCAGAGCCAATGCAACAGTGGAGGGGACCTCGCCCAACTCATCAGGACCAATCAGAAGATCAGAACTACTAGATTCAACCTACATCATTTATTGTATAAAATGTCTGCACACAATGTTTTCGGGGCTCTCTTCAGATAGCTCCCTAATAGTTTGACGAACGAGTCCGTGCACGCGATTCCAGATATCTTTACCTCTGAATAAACTGCCTTTATTATACCATATCCACCCTGTCCAAAGTCTCTACTTGGTCTCAGTTCTCCAGTAAACTTGTGATTATCAACAGTACACAACGGTAACAAACAATTGGGGGAACTCACGGGGCAGATAGTAAGGTCGCAGTGACACAGAAAGCAGTTCAATGTCGGGGGTACAGAGTCGCTCTCTTACCAGGATCGATTTTCCCTGTGACTGTCAGATCGCGGTCCGCTCTGACCAGGGTGAAGCCGGCCGGCTCCACTTCTCTGTCCGGGACTCTGTCATCCAGCCAAGTCTCCCAGCTGTATTGGATTCCGCTGCCAGCAGCGTTTTCATTATTTAGTCCGTTCGTAGCGGGTATGTACACGATCAACAAGATCAGTCCAAAACCCACCACTGGAAATCCATGGTTGGCAGAATGTTTGTAAACTAAGTGTACAAATTAAAAACATAAAATAACGCCACTAAGTGTACAAATTAAAAACATAAGATAACGCCACACTGCAGGTCGCAACAGAGACGCTGCTAGCCGCTATTTTCTTAGTTACGTTCATGGTTACGTCACGTATGACGAAAGTGCGTAAGTGCAAGCCCACAGACACCCATAGAGATTGTATTGAAAGCTTTGAAATTTGAAAAAAATAGATTTTACATGACAGGCTATGAGAGACTTCTGGGCGATTTTCAACCTGACTGAAATCGCCCCAAAAACGGGCGGGGCCATTTGAAGCACGACTTTAGCCTGATTTGACATTTAGTGGCAGTCAGATCAGATTAGAACACTGATAACTACTGTTGCCGTGATATAATTGATTAGAAAAAAAATCCCTTCCTTTTCCCGTTTGGCAGTGCGTCGCCCATATCGCCCTATTGAACAGGCCGTCCCTGCCCATGAGGCAGCACACAATTGGCCCAGCGTCATCCGGGTTAGGGGAGGGTTTGTCCAGCTGGGATGTCCTTGTCCCATCGCGCTCCAGCGACTCCTTGTGGCGGGCCGGGCGCCTGCAAGCTGACTTTTCGCCAGTTGTATGGTATTTCCTCCGACACATTGGTTCGGCTGGCTTCCAGGTTAAGCGAGCAGTGTGTCAAGAAGGAGTGCGGTTTGGCAGGGTCGTGTTTCGGAGGACACATGGCTCTAGACCTTCGCCTCTCCCAATGGGACAAAACTATAGCTACCAATTGGAGAGAAAAAGGGATAAAAGTACCCAAAAAATGAAAAAGATAGGTTTAATGATTGTAAATACGAAGTATACAGGCACCAAAAGCACATTACTCTTGTTCCATGCGCATATGGGAAGTGTGCATCACAGCTGGATAGGCTGGTCCTAACAGGGCTGCCTGAAATTAACACTTTGGATCATGTTTTTAAGGACACACCTCAAATATTTACACCACTCGCATCTGAGCACAAGCGAGCAGATATAAGACAGGTTAATTACCAATCCTTGAGCAACAGTTTGAAAATAGCTGAGCGCTGGCTTTAACATGTGGAAATTGCCATTGAACGTCCGTTTGACACTAGCGCCGCCTTAACGCCAGCCGAAAATAGAGCCCCCTGAGTTCAATGTCATATTTGATCTTAGTTTAGCTTTTTAATCCATCATAATTATCGGTTGATGAGCTGAAGTACAGTGCAGTTACTTTGCCGTGTAAGTGTGTGTGTGTGGTGTGTCTGTGTGTGTTGGTGTGAGTGTCTGTGTGAGTGAGTGTGTGTGTGGTGTGTGTGTGTGTGTTTAAGCTCACACTCAGTGTTTGTGTCCTTGCAGCAGCACATTCCACCAAATAGCACAGTCAGACACGGCTCCTATTCTCTGTGTCACACAACAAACACAACACACTGCCTAGGGAGAGCGCAGCGAAGACTGTGTGTTCTTTCTGAGGGGTATCCCAGCCCCAACGGCCCTCAAGTCACCCTCCAAGTGTTAAGCCTAGCCATGGTGTCCAGTTCAATCTAGGCCAATCAGCTGCTCTATGGCCAGCCACAGTCATACCTCTCATGGTTCCTTGTTATGGATCTAAAAAATACAGCAGGAACAATATTAATATTGTCTGCCTGTCTGTCTGCCTGTCTGTCTGCCTACTTGTCTGTCTGCCTGTCTGCTTGTCTGTCTGTCGATCTGCCTGTCTGCTTGTCAGTCTGCCTGTCGGTCTGCCTGCCGGTCTGCCTGTCTGTCTGTCTGACCGTCTGCCTGCCGGTCTGCCTGTCTGCCTGTCTGTCTGCCTGTCTGCCTGTTTGTCTGTCTGCCTGTCTGCCTGTCTGTCACTCTAATTTGTTCTACCTCTGCCCTCCCTATTCTCTCCCTTTCTCTCTCCCCCTCCTTTGTGGTAATCTATTCTGAGGAATTCACTCCTATAATCTGTCCCTGTTGTGTTCCAATGGTGTCATTAAGAAGGTAGGGAGTCTGTGTTTGGCTATGGGAAAAACAACCCTGCCATCTTGTTATGACGTTAAGTTTATCTCAATAAGCACGCCAACGGTGCCATCTCACAGGACACAAATACAGCCGTACCCTCCGCCATCCGGATAAATCATTTGCTATGTTAGACATAGTAGAATGTGAAGTATGTCAAATAATAACAACAATAATAATACAGTACTGCATCATGTTTTTCCTGCTTGAGGAAGTGTAAACAGACATGTGGTTGTTGGTCCTGTATGTCCTTGTGGGAGGCGTTGGTCCTGTGGTGTCTGTATGTCCTTGTGGGAGGTGTTGGTCCTGTGGTGTCTGTATGTCCTTGTGGGAGGTGTTGGTCCTGTGGTGTCTGTATGTCCTTGTGGGAGGTGTTGGTCCTGTGGTATGTGTATGTCCTTGTGGGAGGTGTTGGTCCTGTGGTGTCTGTATGTCCTTGTGGGAGGTGTTGGTCCTGTGGTATGTGTATGTCCTTGTGGGAGGTGTTGGTCCTGTGGTGTCTGTATGTCCTTGTGGGAGGTGTTGGTCCTGTGGTGTCTGTATGTCCTTGTGGGAGGTGTTGGTCCTGTGGTGTCTGTATGTCCTTGTGGGAGGTGTTGATCCTGTTGTGTCTGTATGTCCTTGTGGGAGGTGTTGGTCCTGTGGTGTCTGTATGTCCTTGTGGGAGGTGTTGGTCCTGTGGTGTCTGTATGTCCTTGTGGGAGGTGTTGATCCTGTGGTGTCTGTATGTCCTTGTGGGAGGTGTTGGTCCTGTGGTGTCTGTATGTCCTTGTGGGAGGTGTTGATCCTGTGGTGTCTGTATGTCCTTGTGGGAGGTGTTAGTCCTGTGGTGTCTGTATGTCCTTGTGGGAGGTGTTGGTCCTGTGGTGTCTGTATGTCCTTGTGGGAGGTGTTGGTCCTGTGGTATGTGTATGTCCTTGTTGGGAGGTGTTGGTCCTGTGGTGTCTGTATGTCCTTGTGGGAGGTGTTGGTCCTGTGGTGTCTGTATGTCCTTGTGGGAGGTGTTGATCCTGTGGTGTCTGTATGTCCTTGTGGGAGGTGTTGGTCCTGTGGTGTCTGTATGTCCTTGTGGGAGGTGTTGGTCCTGTGGTATGTGTATGTCCTTGTGGGAGGTGTTTGGTCCTGTGGTGTCCTGTATGTCCTTGTGGGAGGTGTTGGTCCTGTGGTGTCTGTATGTCCTTGTGGGAGGTGTTGGTCCTTTGGTGTCTGTATGTCCTTGTGGGAGGTGTTGGTCCTGTGGTGTCTGTATGTCCTTGTGGGAGGTGTTGGTCCTGTGGTGTCTGTATGTCCTTGTGGGAGGTGTTGGTCCTGTGGTGTCTGTATGTCCTTGTGGGAGGTGTTGGTCCTGTGGTATGTGTATGTCCTTGTGGGAGGTGTTGGTCCTGTGGTATGTGTATGTCCTTGTGGGAGGTGTTGGTCCTGTGGTGTCTGTATGTCCTTGTGGGAGGTGTTGGTCCTGTGGTGTCTGTATGTCCTTGTGGGAGGTATTGGTCCTGTGGTATGTGTATGTCCTTGTGGGAGGTGTTGGTCCTGTGGTGTCTGTATGTCCTTGTGGGAGGTGTTGGTCCTGTGGTATGTGTATGTCCTTGTGGGAGGTGTTGGTCCTGTGGTGTCTGTATGTCCTTGTGGGAGGTGTTGGTCCTGTGGTATGTGTATGTCCTTGTGGGAGGTGTTGGTCCTGTGGTGTCTGTATGTCCTTGTGGGAGGTGTTGGTCCTGTGGTGTCTGTATGTCCTTGTGGGAGGTGTTGGTCCTGTGGTGTCTGTATGTCCTTGTGGGAGGTGTTGATCCTGTGGTGTCTGTATGTCCTTGTGGGAGGTGTTGGTCCTGTGGTATGTGTATGTCCTTGTGGGAGGTGTTGGTCCTGTGGTGTCTGTATGTCCTTGTGGGAGGTGTTGGTCCTGTGGTGTCTGTATGTCCTTGTGGGAGGTGTTGGTCCTGTGGTATGTGTATGTCCTTGTGGGAGGTGTTGGTCCTGTGGTGTCTGTATGTCCTTGTGGGAGGTGTTGGTCCTGTGGTATGTGTATGTCCTTGTGGGAGGTGTTGGTCCTGTGGTGTCTGTATGTCCTTGTGGGAGGTGTTGGTCCTGTGGTATGTGTATGTCCTTGTGGGAGGTGTTGGTCCTGTGGTGTCTGTATGTCCTTGTGGGAGGTGTTGGTCCTGGAACTTCTGGGTTGCGTTCTAATAATCTCTCCTTTCTACCGAAGTGTACACTTGTTCACTTCCCTTCATAGATTTGAAAGGAAATGACTGGTCTATGGAAACTCACTCTAAACGTAGTCCCGTGTAGCTCAGTTGGTAGAGCAATAGTGCTTGCAACGCCAGGTTTGTGTGTTCGATTCCCACGGTGGACCAGTATGAAATTTTATGCACTCACTAACTGTAAGTCGATCTGGATAAGAGCTAAATGACTAAAATGTAAAATGTAGACCATGCTTACACCAATCCAATGCTTTTATATTAGTGGGAAGCAGAGAACGAGTGTACAGTTCAGGGAGAAGGAGAGATTGTTGGGACGCAACAAGTTGAGCAAACATTTTAAGTTGACTGAATTTTTGCCTACGTTTTCTCAAGTTAGAGCGAAGTTTGGGCCAACTAAAAATGTTAAGTTCAGGTAAAACTGGTTGAAAAGTTGACTAAACAAAAAAAAGCTGTGGAACCAGTTACTTAATAATAATTAGTTTAAACTAGATACAAATATTTTTTACAGTATAGTGATACCAATTTCCTGACTTCCTATACACAACATGCAGATTGATATCATGTTGTAAGGATGTGGTGTAATCATGAGTAAACATAGTATTACTGTAATGTAATCAAAGTACTATGTTAAGCATTAAAATCAAAGTCTCCAATGTTTTTCCGTTAGCACAGCTGTAACATAAACCATACTTTAAAGATATATGAAAACTGGCAAAGAATCTCATCCCTTGTCAGTGGGCCAGGCACACACCGGATAACATTGAGAAAAGAAGGGATGAAGAGAAGGAGAGACAGAGGAAAGGGAGAGAGGTTCAAACAGGGTGACAAATGTCATGAATGCCACAGACAGCCAAGAGGGTGCGGGACTGGAGCAGTGGAGGAAAGTAGGAAGTGGGAGAACCATGAACCAATCAGAACCTATATAGCCAGGAGAGAGCAAATCAGGACACAGGACAAAGATAAAAGACAACACAGATGAGAGAGTAGATAGTAAAGATAGGTCATTACACAGAACACATGCAAGGCCGTGAATATAAGCTACAGCCCACACATGAGACAAACAGTACTCTAACAAAGCCTGACTCCTCGATCAGACCGACAACGTCATTGCATAAAATACTACGTAATAAATTCTGCAGTCAAACTTTTTAAAATTATTTAATCCAACATTTTAGTGGATATGTGTGCAACAAAAGTTCAGCATTCACCTTTTGCTTTCTATTTTTGTCAAGTCTAAGCATACAATTTGATGCATGCGTTGGATTTATCCACCACACAGAACCACACAGAAATGAAGGTACTTCTGGTGTACCAAAATGCAATGATGCTGTCGGTCTGTTCGAGGCGTAACATCTGTGTGTGTGTGTGTTTGCGTGTGTGTGGTGTGTGTGTGTTATCTATATTACATCAGGCACCGGGTTAAGTACTGTGTGTGTATATAATTTGTGTTTGTGTTGTACAAAGCATGTGGATATTTCCCTTTCACTCTCACTAAGTGTGTGTGCGCTCTGGTGAGTGTGTGTGTGTGTACTCCTGAGTGCTCCTGTATGTTTATATATGTGTGTGTGTGTGTGGGTGTGGGTGTGTGTGTGTGTGTGTGGAGGGGGTGGGGGGTGGGGGTAGGGTGGGGGGTGCGCTTGTGTACTCCTGAGTGCTCCTGTGTGTGTTTCCTTCACTCACAAATCCCCATGCACCAGGCCGTAGACACTGTGTATGGTCCAGCCAAAGCCCCCCAGCAGAACGATGACCAGGATGATGATGACCAGAGCAGGAAGTCCCCAGCCCAGCAGGAAGTAGACTAGGTAACGTCTCTCTGTGTGCTCATCGTTCATCACCAACACCTGCCAGAAGTTCACCGCCTGAGGGGTGGGGAGTATTGTAAGAGAGGGGTGGGGAGGAGAAAGAGAGGGGTGGGGAATAGAGGAAGAGGGGGGGTGGGGAGGAAAGGAAGAGGGGGGTGGGGGAGGACAGGAAGAGAGGGATGGGGAGGACAGGAAGAGAGGTGTGGAGAAGAGGGTAGGGAGGAGGAGGGGGGAGGAGGAGAGGGGGTGGAGGAGAGGGTAGGGAGGAGGAGGGGGTGGAGAAGAGGGGTGGAGGAGAGGGTAGGGAGGAGAAGAGGGGTGGAGGAGGAGGGTAGGGAGGAGGAGAGGGGGTGGAGGAGAGGAGAGGGTAGGGAGGACGAGAGGGGTGGAGGAGAGGGTAGGGAGGACGAGAGGGGTGGAGGAGAGGGGTGGAGGAGAGGGTAGGGAGGAGGAGAGGGGTGGAGGAGAGGGTAGGTAGGAGGAGAGGGGTGGAGGAGAGGAGAGGGGTGGAGGAGAAGGGAGGAGGAGAGGGGTGGAGGAGAGGTGTGGAGGAGAGGGTAGGGAGGAGGAGGGGGTGGAGGAGAGGGTTGGAGGAGAGGAGAGGGGTGGAGGAGAGGGGTGGAGGAGAGGGGAGGAGGAGGGGGGTGGAGGAGAGGGGTGGAGGAGAGGGTAGGGAGGAGGCGAGGGGTGGAGGAGAGGAAAGGGGAGGAGGAGAGGGGTGGAGTGGTGGAGGAGAGGGTGGAGGAGAGGGTAGGGAGGAGGAGGGGGTGGGGAGGAGAGGAGAGGGGTGGAGGAGAGGGTAGGGAGGAGGAGGGGGTGGAGGAGAGGGGTGGAGGAGAGGGTAGGGAGGAGGAGAGGGGTGGAGGAGAGGAAAGGGGAGGAGGAGAGGGGTGGAGGAGAGGGTAGGGAGGAGGAGAGGGTAGGGAGGAGGAGAGGGTGGAGGAGAGGGTAGGGAGGAGGAGAGGGTGGAGGAGAGGGGTGGAGGAGAGGAGAGGGGTGGAGGAGAGGGTAGGGAGGAGGAGAGGGGTGGAGGAGAGGGTAGGGAGGAGGAGAGGGGGGGAGGGAGGGAGGAGGGGTAAGGAGGAGGAGAGGGGGAGGAGGAGAGGTGGAGGAAAGGGTAGGGTGGAGGAAGGTGGAGGAGGAGGGGGGAGGAGGAGAGGGGTGGAGGAGAGTGTAGGGAGGAGGAGAGGGGTGGAGGAGAGGGTAGGGAGGAGGAGAGGGGTGGAGGAGAGGGTAGGGGGGGGGAGGAGAGGGTAGAGAAGAGGAGAGGGTAGGGAGGAGAGGGTAGGGTAGGGAGGAGAGGGTAGGGAGGAAGAAGAAGAGCAACAGGTGGTTATCAGCAGAAGAGCCATAGGAATGAATAGGAATGTGCATTTTGTACAATGCTTGAAGTAAGGATTACACAGTAAAAGGACAACAGAACATTCCACATGATTTGATTCCATTCCATTTATGAGCTGATGAGTTCTTTGTGATCAGGTGGACATGGGGTCAAACACAAGTCACATAAAACCACCATCTCCTTCCCAAAACCCTCTGCTTCATAATCATTATCATCCTCTGGGTGTTGCATCATCAGTGGCAGAGAGGGAGAGAGAGAACATAAAGAGAAAGAGTTGGAGGGAGAGAGACAGCTAGAAAGGGAGAGAGAGAGATATAAAGAGAGAGAGTTAGAGATAGAGAGAGAGAGAGAGAGAGAGAGAGAGAGATTTATTGTTTATTTCACTTTTGTTAACTATCTACTTCACTTGCTTTGGCAATGTTAACATACGTTTCCCATGCCAATAAAGCCCTTCAATTGAATTGAATTGATAAAGATAGAGAGTTGGAGAGAGAGAGAGAGAGACTGTTGTGTAACGCATTATATTAGACAGCTAACAGAGTGGCACTTTAATTGAGCTCCACCAGTGATAGCTAGCTGTGCGAATAATTGCATTAGGAGTTTGTGCTGTGCTGTTCCATTGCTCCGGGTAAGCTGGATGAGGCTTTGCCAGGTGTTGGTTTGCCGTTACGTACTGTTGTGGAGTCCTACGATTCAGAAAGACAGTTCTGGGAGGACATCTCTATCTAAGGTGCTCAGCGTAAGGACTCATAGCCTGGCTGATTCAATTACAGGCTGTTGTGTTCTGGCAAGAGGCCAACCTGTATTCCCCCATTGCAGCGCTTCACCACACCATTGACTCAAGGCTTGATTAGTGCAATATGCAGGGTCTGCGAAAGCCTCCTGGCAGGCGCCCCCACAAATGCCACTTAGAAAAAAGCTGATACTTGCCGACTCAAAGAGAGGGGGGTACCCCTCTGATCAATAGTATGGAGTATATGGAAGGGAGTAGGGACATGTCCACAGAGCCAGGGGAAGGCACAGTGATGCCGAAACGTTTGTTCACAAAAGTTAACGATGATAGTTGGAAGATAAAAAAAAATAACTTTCAGCGACAGGTCTCGAAAGAGAGGAAAGTAAAGGAGAATTCCTGGCCGCATTTAATATTTATTTAATATAAATAGATCGAGAATAGAACTACCACAACGTTACTTTTGTACCTTCCGGCGGGGCGGGAGTAACAGCTGGCGAGAAGCAGGGGTTGGAATCGATTCAGGGAACAGAATAAAAAAACGGAAAATAATGAAATTATTGGAGGAAAAGAGTCAGAACCAGGAACTAAAGTGATCTATACTGTTACGGAACAGAACCGTTATTTTAAAAGCGTGGGAACCGATTAATAACGTTATTTTATGTTCCAGGCATTTTTTTCCAGTCCCACAAAAATCGCAACAAATCACCTATGCCAGCGTTTCCCAAACTAGAGGTCGTAACACCATTCGCGTTTGGTTCAAAGAACCAGGGTTACGTCAGCCGCTAGATACGGTTGTATAAATGGACGTGGAGAGGATCTGTGTCTGCACCACATGCTCTCACTACTGGTGTCCCCCAAGGCTCGGTTCTAGGCCCTCTCCTCTTCTCTCTATACACCAAGTCACTCGGCTCTGTCATATTGTCACATGGTCTCTCCTAACATTGCTATATGGATGACACTCAACTACTTTTCTCCTTCCCCCCTTCTGACACCCAGTTGGCGAATGGCATCTCTGCGTGCCTGGCAGATATCTCAGCTTGGATGTCGGCCCGCCACCTCAAGCTCATCCTTGACAAAACGGAGCTGCTCTTACTCCCAGGGACGGCTTGCCACTCAAAGACATCTCCATCACGGTTAACGACTTCACGGTGTCCCCCTCCCAGAGTGCAAAGAACCTTGGTGTGACACTGGACAACACCCTGTCGTTCTTTGCAAACATCAAAGCAGTGGCTCACTCCTGCAGGTTCATGCTCTACAACATCCGTAGAGTATGACCCTACCTCACACAGGAAGTGGCGCAGGTCCTAATCCAGGCACTTGTCATCTACCGTCTGGACTACTACAACTCACTGTTGGCTGGGCTCCCCACTTGTGCCATCAAACCCCTGCAACTTATCCAGAACGCTGCAGCCAGCCTGGTGTCCAACCTTACCAAGCTCTCCCATGTCACCCCGCTCCTCCGCACACTCCACTGGCTTCCAGTCAAAGCTCGCATCAACTACAAGACCATGGTACTTGCCTTCGGAGCAGCAAGAGCCCCTCCCTACCTTCAGGCTATGCTCAAACCCTACACCCCAACCCGAGCACTCCGTTCTGCCACCTCTGGTCTCTTGGCCCTCCCACCCCTACATGAGGACAGCTCAGCCCAGTCTAAGCTCTTCTCTGTCCTGGCACCCCCATCGTGGAACCAGCTTCCACCTGAAGCTAGGACAGCAGAGTCCCTCCCCATCTTCCGAAAACATCTGAAACCCTACCTCTTCCAAGAGTGTCTTAAATAATCCAACAGCACCCCTCCCCCTAAATAAAACATAATTAAATACATTCTGAATGAACCAACACTCGCACTTTACAATTTTTTCCCTTTTTAGTTCTGACTTTGCTGATGGCTACAGTACCAGTCAAAAGATTGGACACACCTACTCATTCAAGGGTTTTTCTTTATTTTTACTATTTTCTACATTGTAGAATAATAGTTAAGACATCAAAACTATTAAATAACACATATGGAATCATGTAGTAACCAAAAAAAGTGTTAAACAAATCAAAATATATTTTTGATTCTTCAACGTAGCCACCCTTTGCCTTGATGACAGCTTTGCACACTTTTGACATTCTCTCAACCAGCTTCATGAGGAATGCTTTTCCAACAGTCTTGAAGCAATTCCCACATATGCTGAGCACTTGTTGGCTGCTTTTCCTTCACTCTGCGGTCCAACTCATCCCAAACCATCTCAATTGGGTTGAGGTCGGGTGATTGTGGATACCAGGTCATCTGATGCAGCACTCCATCACTCTCCTTCTTGGTCAAATAGCCCTTACACAGCCTTGAGGTGTGTTGGATCATTGTACTGTTGAAAAACGAATGATAGTCCCACTAAGTGCAAACCAGATGGGATGGCATATCGCTGAAGAATGCTGTGGTAGTCATGCTGGTGTGTGCCTTGAATTCTAAATAGATCACTGACAGTGTCACCAGCAAAGCACACCCACACCATCACACCTCCTCCTCCATGCTTCACGGTGGGAACCACACATGTGGAAATAATCAGTTCACCTACTCTGCGTCTCACAAAGACACGGCGGTTGGGACCAAAAAATCTCAAATTTGGACTCATCAGACCAAAGGACACATTTCCACCGGTCTTATGTCCATTGCTCATATTTCTTGGCCCAAGGAAGTCTCTTCTTATTATTGGTGTCCTTTAGTAGTGGTTTCTTTGCAGCAATTTGACTATGAAGGCCTGATTCACACTGTCTCCTCTGAAGAGTTGATGTTGAGATGTGTCTGTTACTTGAACTCTGTGAAGCATTTATTTGGGCTACAATCTGAGGTGCAGTTAACTCTAATGAAATGATCCTCTGCAGCAGAGGTAACTCTGGGTCTTCCTTTCCTGTGGCGGTCCTCATGAGAGCCAGTTTCATCATAGCACTTGATGGTTTTTGCAACTGCACTTTCAAAGTTCTTGAAATTTTACGGATTGACTGACCTGTCTTAAAGTAATGATTTCTCTTTGCTTATTTGAGCTGTTCTTACCATAATATGGACTTGGTTTTCTACCAAATAGGGCTATCTTCTGTATACCACCCCTACCTTGTCACAACACAAGAAATTCGACAAATTAACTTTTAACAAGGCACACCTGTTAATTGAAATGCATTCCAGGTGACTACCTCATGAAGCTGGTTGAGAGAATGCCAAGAGTGTGCAAAGCTGTCATCACGGCAAAGGGTGGCTACTTTGAAGAATCTCAAATATAAAATATATTTTGATTTGTTTAACACTTTTTTGGTTACTACATGATTCCATATATGTTATTTCATAGTTTTGATGTCTTCACTATTATTCTACAATGTAGAAAATAGTAAAGATAAAGAAAAACCCTTGAATGAGTAGGTGTTCAACAACTATTGACTGGTAGTGTACTTTGAGGAAAAATGTCCTTACTCTGACTGTGGTATGTGGTTGTCCCACCTAGCTATCTTAAGATGATTGCACTAACTGTAAGTTGCTCTGGATAAAAGCGTCCGCTAAATAACTAAAATGTAAATGAAACTGTTGCTCTGTTTTACAATGCCCACAAGCCGCGCAGGACTCATCAGAACAGAGTGGACAAGACCAGGCACTAAATCAGACTAAATCAATGATGATGTTCTTTCCTACACAGAATATCATACAAAATGATTGCCTGATGATGGTCTGAATTTACCAATACAATACATGTACTTAGTTCATCCTCTATATATATTTCCTCACTTACTTTTCTATTTATTGCATGGAAAATATAATGTCTAACACGTTCAGGTAACCTTGTCGAAATGACCTAATTATCAAGGTCAATGTTTTTATTTTAAAAGTGACTAAATTACTTTTACTCAGTACTTTTCAAATGAGCTACTTTTTAGTTGAGTAGTTTTTAAAATGTCATTGTAGTAACAATACTTCTACAGTGAGGGAAAAAAGTTTTTGATCCCCTGCTGATGTTGTATGTTTGCCCACTGACAAAGAAATGATCAGTCTATAATTTTAATGGTAGGTTTATTTGAACAGTGAGAGACAGAATAACAACAAAAAAATCCAGAAAAATGCATGTCAAAAATGTTATAAATTGATTTGCATTTTAATGAGGGAAATAAGTATTTGACCCCCTCTCAATCAGAAAGATTTCTGGCTCACAGGTGACTTTTGTACAGGTAACGAGCTGAGATTAGGAGCACACTCTTAAAGGGAGTGCTCCTAATCTCAGGTTGTTACCTGTATAAAAGACACCTGTCCACAGAAGCAATCAATCAATCAGATTC